CAATCTTAAAAGGGGTGAAGGAACAGAGAGACCTGAGGGCTCATATAAGTAAATCTTTGAAGGTGGCAGGACAGGTAGATACAGCTGTTAAAAAAGCATATGGGATACAAGGCTTTATAAATAGGGGCGTAGGATACAAAAGTCAGGAAGTTATGATGAACCTTTATAAACCACTGGTTGGACCTCAGCTGGAGACTGTGTTCAGTTCTGGGCACCAACTTTAGGAAGGATGTCAAGGCATTGGAAAGGGTGTAAACGAGATTTACCAGGATGGTACCAGGAATGAGGGACTTCAGTTATGAGGAGAGGCTAGAGAAGCGAGGATTATTCAACTCACTGCCAGTCAGGAACCTAGGTGTTCTTGTTCGACACTCAACTGTCTTTTCTTCCCCACATGCCAAGCCATTACCCGCTCTGCCTTCCCTCACCTCCATAACATCGCCCGACTCCGCCACTACCTCACCCCTCAGGCCGCTGAAACTCTTGTTCTTGCCTTCATCACCTCCAGGCTCGACAGGCCCTGCTTGTCGGCCTTCCCAACTCCTCCCTCCACAGGCTGCAGATAATCCAGAACTCTGCAGCGTGTGTCCTCTCCCGCACCAAACTCTGTGACCCCATCTCACCCACTCTCGCCCGACTCCATTGGCTCAAGATGCTGGTCCTCACCTACAAAGCCGTCCATGGCCTCGCCCCACCCTACCTCTTCGACCTCTTAACCCCCTACCAACCCGCCTGCTCCCTCCGCTCAGCCGGCTCTGGCCTGCTCCACGTCCCTGACCCACCCGCCCCACCATTGGCGGGAGAACCTTCAGCCACTCTGTCCCCAACCTCTGGAATTCAATCCCCCAATCACTCCGCCTCGCCCCTCCTTAGCCTCCTTCAAGTCCCACCTCAAAACCCTCCTCTTTAATCATGCCATCGGTCACCCCCCTTCCCCTCCCCTCCCTTCTCCCCCCCCAACCCCAGCTCAGGTCTGACATGCTGTACACTGTCCAGTGCCTTGGGACGTCCTCCCAACATGAAAGGCGCTATGCAAATGTAATCTTGTTGTTGTTGTATGCTCCTTGGAGCAGAGAAGGTTAAGAGGAAATTTAATAGAAGTTTTCAAAATTATGAGGGGATTTCATAGAGTGAACAAGGAGAATTTTTTCCACTTGTAGGTGCTTCAGTAACCTGAGGACACCAATTTAAAATGGTTGTTAAAAGAGGGCAGGTGAGAATTTTTTTATCACAGCAAGTTGTTTGGATCTGGAATGCATTGCCTGAAAGGGTGGTGGAAGCCCAATTCAATAACAACTTTTAAGAGAGATAATTATTTGCATAGGACAAGTTTGCAGGGGAGAGAGCTGGGGAATGGGATTGAATTGGATAGCTCTTTTCAAAGAGCCAGCACAGATACGCTGGGCCGAATGGCCTCCTTCTGTGCTGTATACAAATGACATTCTGTCCATTTGCGACCAGGACTCCCTCTGCCACCTCGTCCTCCTTGACCTCTCTGTTGCTCTGGGTGTGGCCTCCTCCTTGTCCCCCGAGTCCTCCGCTCCACCCTCAGTGGCCGTGCCTTCAGCCACTATGTCCCGAGGCTCTGGAACTGCCTTCCTCACTCCCTTCGCCTCGCTCCCTCCCTTCCCATTTTCAGGTCTCTGCTGAAGACCTTTCTTTTCGACCGCGCCTTTTTTTCACCTTCCTCCCCCTCCCCCTGGCTCGGTCCCGGGATCCGTTACTGTAAAGCGCTCTAAGGCGCCGTCCGGCGTGGAGGGCGCTATATAAATCCAAGTTGTTGTTGTTGACACCGTCAACCACTCTATCTTCATCCACCGCCTTTCCTCTCAACTCAACCTTCACGGCTCTGTCCTTGACTGGTTCCGATCCTACCTCTCACACTGCTTCCACCATCTCCCCAAACGGCTTCTCCTCCAGCCTCCGCACCGTCTCATGCGGCGTTCCTCAGGGCTCTGTCCTTGGTCACCTCCTCTTCAATATCTATATGCTCCCTCTTGGTGACATGGGGTCAACTTCTACATGTATGCGGATGACACCAACTCTACCTCTCTGCCTCCACCCTTGACTCCAGGACCACTGCTGTCCTGACAGAATGTCTGTCGGACATCAAGTCCTGGATGAGAGCTAACTTTCTACAGTTCAACAAGACCGAGGCTGAATCTCTTGATTGGCTCCTGTCAGCGCCTTCTCAACTGAGGCACTGAGAGAATCACCGTCCATGGTTGCACACTCAACCTTGCTAAGCCAGTCCGGAACCTTGGGGTCTCAACTATCCTTTCTACCCCACATCTGCGTCATGACCCGCTCTGCGTTCCTCCACCTCCGCAACGTCGCCTGGCTCCGACACTATCTCACGCCGCAGGCCAGCGAAACCCTCATACACACCTTCATTACATCGAGGCTCAACAATGCAAACTCACTGCTTGTCGGCCTCCCCAACTCCTCCCTCCACAGGCTGCAGATCATCCAGAACTCTGCAGCCCGTGTCCTCTCCCGCACTAGGCTCCACGACCCTATCACCCCCATCCTTGCCCAACTCCCCTGGCTTCCCATCACACAGAGGATACAGTTCAAGATCCAGGCCCTCAACTTCAAAACCCTCCATGGTCTTGCTCCCCCTACCTCTGCAACCTCCTAACCCCCTACCATCCTGCCCGCTCCCTCCTCTCAGCGGGCTCCAGCTTGCTTCACATCCCCCACCTCGCTCACCCCATTATTGGAGGGAAGGCTTTTTGCCACTCTGCCCCCACCCTCTGGAACTCCATCCTGCAGTCCCTCTGCCTCGCCCCCTCCCTCGCCCCCTTCAAGACCCATCTCAAGACCCTCCTCTTCGACCGTGCCTTTGATCTCCCTGCTTGCCCCCCTGCCCTCCACCCTCCCCGGCCCCCAGCTTGGGCTCGTAATTGTGTCTGTCCAGCACCTTGGGACGTCCTCCTGACATAAAATGCGCTTTGCAAGTGTAATTTTGTTGTTGTTGTTGTTGAGTTTGCATTAGTGCTCTGAGACACCAAATGCTTATAGGATCGTAAATTTACTCCCTATATTTGCTTACATAATTACAGATATGATTCAGATCCCTGCTTAACACAGATTTACTACTCAACTAAGAAGTGATTCAAGAAAAGGAAAGGTGTGTGAAAGAGCAGAGTTCAGTACATAATCTGGAACAAAGAAGATACATTGAGAAACAGCTGATTCAAAAAGGTAGCTTTTTTAAATAAAAATCTATGTTTTACTGGTGAGGACGTTTTCTAAATGATCCCAGGGAGGTACCGTCCAGGTTTGGTTAATTTGCCACTTAGAATTGACATTTAAATCCATAGGAAACGAAAACTGCAGGGCTAAGCATCCGCGTGCCTCTGTATTTTGTGTCACATCCACGTGTGTTTTGTCAGTTGACAATATTCTGCAGAACTGCCAGGCTAAATTTAGAAAGGAGCAGCAGAATGCACTAACAGTAGCAATACGATCTTCTGTGCCTCAAGGAGAAAATAGGTTTCCAATCCAGTTACTGTAGTCTTCGTGTTGGGAGAGTGTGGGGGGAGGTGGGGGATTGTTACGTATCCTCCATGATCCCCCATCAGTGGTCTTCTCCACCTGCGGCTGTAGGAGGTGGAGAAGACCACTGATGGGAGATCATAGGGGGTACATCACAATATGTGTCACTCTGCTTCATTTGACAAGAGTTATGAGTTTGTCCCCATGCACTTATAAAATAGCTGCAATGCAATATTATCTATTATTTCACCTGCAAATCCATTGAAATTGCATTAGGTATTTATATAAGCACAGAGGGAAACATTTGCAAAACAGACCAATGGAACAAAATAGAAAAACAGAACCAGCCTTACTGATTTGCTGTAAGGAGCAAAAGGAGCAGGATAAGCCACTACCCCTCTCTCCCAGTGTTGCGATGAGTTTTAATTTATTACATTGAAATCACCCTTTAATGAATGAAATTGAGATGGGGAAAGAGACTAATCTTGAAATGGGGGTAAATTAGATTGACAGCTAGAAATCTGCTTGATATTTGCTTGTGCAAGTCTTTTTCTCCAAAATTTTAACGGTACTTCTCATCCAGCATTGTGTTCCCTTCAGAAGTGATACACTGGTCTGAATCAATGCAGAGTTAGTCTTTGGAACAGCTTGTTTGATTTTCTTCCATCACACACCCAGATAGGCAATACAAGGATAGCTCCATCTACATTTATTCTTTCCAGCTTTCTCCACTGAATTCTTCTCCTGAATGGAGGTTCAAAATTGACTGGTGCTTTTGTCTGCTAGAAATAATAGTTATTCTTCCATTTGATATAACGCCTTATCATGTCTTCGAGACGTCTCAAAGCGCTTCACAGAATAAATTGTAAAGTGAATTGACTGTATATTTTGTGAGCGAAATACGGCAATTAATTAATTAAGCGCACAGCAATTAATACACAGTCACTATACTTTAAGACATTTCCTGTGAAGCGATCTGAGAAATGTTGATGACATGCTCGAATGCAATACTGTTGGTACATATCTTTTTGTTCCATCTTTAAAATGGATTTCCCATTGTAAAGACACACCAAAATATTGCTATTTTATACGTTTTGTATGACATGCCTCATTGTAACAATTCAGTAAGACATCAGGTTAGGGATTACAATACATGAATACCAAATTAAAGTACAGACCTCAATATGAAAAGCTCCCTTCCATCGAGTGGAAGACATCAAAATGCAGACACAAAATACAAATTTTATCTGATTCTTGCTTTACTTTTACGCTTCCCCTTGATCCACACCAGACAGCCTTTGTGAAACGTTAACTTTGCACAAAAACCCACCTAAAAGTAACTGCATGTCTTTAAATGAGGTTTTACTCTCAGAGTGTGGGGTGAGGAGAGAGGGGGGGAAAGAAAGAACTACTAACTTGGTCCACGAGTGGGTTTACCACTGGAAAATGCACCAGTGATACACATGGGTCTTCTGATAGCTTGAATGTAAATAGCATACCTGTCTGTGGATGTCTCACTGACAGCCTGCATTGAATGCTGCTTCAGCCCTGAACCATTTTTGATCGACTCTTGCCGAGTGAGCCCTTGAGGTCTGTTTTTGTCTGACGCTGGTGCGGAAATGTCCCCTGAGGGTAAAGGACCTTGGAATTGGGAATGCTCCTGTAGCTTTGCTTTCTTTTCCTGTGGCGCCTCTTCGTTTCTGTGTGCTGCTGTTCTCCCGGCCTCGCTCGGCTCAAGCTGCTGTGGAGTGTTGGAGCTGCCGCTGTAGAACCAGGCTCCTGATTTAGTGAGGATTTCCTGCTGTTTTCGGCACAAGTTACATACCCACATCACCTGAGCACAGGTTAAACAAGAAAAGTAGGTTATTCCCAGCCTGGCAAATAGAGACAATTTTAAGAATATCAATCTGTTTAACTGTTTTTCACACTCGTACTTTAAATTCCTAAACATTCGGGACAATAAGTAATTTCAAATCTGGGAGCAAAGACAGTATAATGCTAAAATAGAAATTATACATGCATTTTTTTAAAAGAAAAAAAGGAAATATAAGCAACGTAAAGATGCCAAAGTAAAATTGTTCTAGAATTGAACAGCAGTAATATTTTGTTCTAATTTTTCGACCCCCTCACTCTTATCCTACTTTTACAACTTTCTCTTTCAATTTGGGGACTGTGTGGAGTATCTCTTCACAGCACCACCAATATGACTCCATAAGGGCTTGTGGAGAAGCTTGCCTGGTGCAGCAGGACAAGATCCAAACCCCAACCAACATTCTCATTCCTTCCTAGCCATGGACAAAATATACAGTTAATTCACTTTACAGAATATTCTGTGAAATGCTTTGAGGCTTCTTGATGACATGATAAGGCATTATATCAAATGCAAGGATTATTATCATAGAAGACTTCATCCAGCAATGTAACCAAGAACTGAGAGAACTCACCCAAGTCGGAAAATCAGCTGAGGCTAGGATTCAAACCAAATTCCCAGCTTTGCAGTCTTATCATGTGAAGTACTGATCCATCCCTACAGTGCACACTTTAACCGCTAAGGCTGCTCAATACAATCTATGCATCGTCAGTAAAGTTCTGCATGTTGACCATCGTCTTAGGCCACAAAAGGATTGGGAGTTTGGAGCTTTGCCACAAAAGATTTATTCTACACAAATGTGCAGTCAAAATATAGGCTGTATATTTGACAATGAGCCAAGTCTAATCACAAACAAACATTCAGAAAATGCAGTAGAATATGGCTACATTTCTCCTACACCCAGGACTAAACACCAGTGTGATGTCCCTCAAGTGGACCTTCATTACTGGATTTTGTAGTTTATTTTAAAACTAAAAAATCGAATACCTCAAAATAAATTATTGTAGAACAGATATTTCCATTACAGGAATGTTAGAAACATCATTGCTGATTACCAGCTGTATGTTATTTTTGTACCTTGCATGAAAGCTGACAAAGACACAAAACAAATTCTGTCAGCCCTAGAGACACACTTTGAATCTCAGGTTAAACCTCAATGGCATTTATTTTCACTGGGGAGATTATGGTCCTTGTGGTATTTGTAGTTTAAAGGCCTCCTTACTCCCTAGATTCGAGAACAGGAAAACAATGTGGAATATTCTGAAAATTAGCCCGAGTTTTTTTTAACTGCTGAATGACACTCCTGGGATGCCGCCTTGATAGCAGTGGTATTTGTACCAAGATGCTAAAGATCTGGAGTATAGGATGCAGATTACTCATGCACCATCCATGTTTAAATGCACGGAGATGTTCCCAACTATACAATTTATCAACAGAAGGAATTCCAAAATCACCTTTGTTTGGACCCTGATGTTGCAACCTTTAATAAATACAATGTGGTGCCATCTTCAGGTCTGAATTGCTACTGTCCCTGACCATGCTGCAGGAAAGTGGCATTAAAATCTGGTTAGCACAGATTAAGGTAGTGCAGCAAATAGAACAAAGTATTAGTGCAGTGCCACCGAAACAGCATTACCACTATAGTGCAATTTAGTGTCAACATTATTTAGCTCATTTCTTATCATTTCTGAGCCAGGTTGCCCAAATAAAAATGAAGATACTCTTCCCCAGGCATTCCACACATATGTTGTAACTAGCAGTTTTGTTAAAAATACAGCTAATTTCTTATTGCTGTGGATGCAAGAAACAGATCCAAATTGTGTTTGTTTGGCTCCCTCTAGTGGTCAATGGTGAGCACTGTAAATAGAATTAATAAACAGAATTGTATGAGATAAATAAATACAGGTGAGGCTGAGTTCTGGCATTATTTAAGAGCAGTTAACACAATTAATGAGAATGAGAATTAATGTCAACCCACACGCAGTTCAGACAATTAATGAGAAGTTAAAGAGTCCGGGGGTTCAGGCACCAAACAGCATTTTGTCTTTTTCTTAACCTGTCTATCATCTACGCGTCTTAAAGCAGTGTGCGAAAACAAAGTGAAGGAAAGTGCAGGAACAAGTAAGGGAAACTAGAAAGGCTTTGACGTGAATCCACGCAAATAAACTGAGATGTTATTCGCCCGAGGCAGAAACATCAACTGTAATGCATCAATCAACCAAAGCAGTGCATGTAAACTGAAGGTCCTGGAATAAAATAGAAGGCCACATGCAATCCTATTTTATTCAATTCTTAAAAATGTTAACGATCACATTTCAGTAAAAGGATGGAAGTAATTCAACTGCAGGGCAAATTACCGTCTGGGTATAATAAGACGCTTCACCAATGAGTTAGCAGGAATGTGACTTAGATGAGCTGGTACTTGGGAGCATACGGTAAACATAGCTCAACAGTTTCATATCCCAGAGTCACATTCTGCTAATGTATAACACGATGAGGAGGGGGAAAGCTGGGGAAATTCTTACACCCTGAGCATCAGCGCATTTACTGGGGGGAAATGTAATCCATTCTTTAATTGAGGAACTGTTTTTCAAGTGGGCAGAAAATGCACTTAAAACCTAGAACAATAGAAATGTACAGGAAGCAACCATTTGCCTGATCGTGCCTGTGCTGGCTCTCTGAAAGAACTATCTGCTGAGTTCCATTCGCCTGTCTTTTCGCCAAACCCTCTTATATTTCTCCTTTTGGGGTCACAAGATTACAAGATCGGTTTGCGTGAGGAAGGCCCTTCAGCCCATTTGATCTCATCCTTTATCAAAATCCTCTTAAAGCTAATATGGATTCTCCCTCGACTGTCGTTTCAGGTCCTTGTGTAAAAAAAATTTCTTCATTACATTATGTTTCATTATTTTAGAAGTCTCCATGAGATCTCCTGACCTTCTATCATTGACCTTATTGATCGGTTAGATCCTGTCCACTTCTGGGCAAAGTTTCTCCTGCACGATTTTCACTTCTCAGGATTCCTGAGCACAGTGGGTTTTTAAAGTTAGCGAAGGGCCCATGACCTTTATTCCTAGCTGCATGTTAAATTGGCTTCTCAACCTTTAATCTTATTTTAAAATGGTCTCTACTGAAGGAGCAATCAGTCCTGCAATAACCACCTTTGGGATCTTTGGTCACTTCTAAAAAAAAATTGCAACTTTTATTTTAAACAAGCAAAGATCACAAAGGTGTTTATTTTCGGCTGCAGGGTGGAAATGTAATGCTTCTTCACCAGATACCGTCTTAGCATTAAGGAATCTTGTTAGTTAAGGAGCAGGATATATTGTGGAGTTTCGCATTTTCCCCCATTTATTTTTTGGTGCTGACATTAATTATTAAAGAGCATTGCTACCAATCAGATAAAAGAGTGAAAGCAGAATAAAAATCACTCCATGAACTTCACAGCGTATGTTATTAAAAAATAGCGTTAACACCCTGGAGTGTAATTCTGAGGTTGCAATCTCATCTCAAGGTTTAGATGGCTGTTTTATATTTATGAAAGGTGTAAAGCTCCCGATGGTAAAGCTCCCAGCGCCTTGGGATGTCCTCCCGACGTGAAAGGTGCTTTACAAATGTAATTTTGTTGTTTGTTGTTGTTGTATGACAATGTGCTTCACTCACATCCAGGTATTATTATTCAATCCAACATCAAATACTTTTTCTCCATGTCTATCTTACAACTCTCTTCATTGTTGGGTAATGTTGCAACGTATAGACAAGGTATAAATCCAAATACCTGAACAATAATTAACAACCTCCAAAGAGATTCGCATAGAAAAACTCTAATTTTAACTTAAATTTAAATACAAATTAAAGCATAAAGCAGGTCATATCTGAAAGTATCTCAAATTATTGAAGCATTTGAAGAGATAAAGATACACTTCACCTAATCAATGGCCTGCTAGTGCAGCTCTAGGCCAGCCAGACCAAAGGTTGCTGGTGAGATTCCTTATCTGTGTTCCATTTATTGATCTCAGGTTGGGCAGCAGAGATACCTACAATCCTTTCCAAAGTTCCTGGCTTCATGGGAAAGAAAAATCAGCCAACGTTCTAGGTCCTGATGACTGATCTCCTTCTGGGTGCACGTGCACTTTAATTGATGGTACGATCAGGCTTGACCTTGAACACACATTGCGCAAGATCACAAGAACGGTTCAAATGAAGAAAGCCCATTTAATCTCGTCCCTGCAGAATATCCACTTTACCCATCACAGCATCAAGCTATATATTTTTTAAATGAGTCCAGTGTCCTGGCCTCGACCACCATTCGTGGCAACCTGTTCCAATGATTATTGATCCTCTGGCTAAAGATAAACCTCTTGGTGTCTGTCCTGAAATTTTTCTTTGCAACTCTACTGTATTGCTGCATCCTAAAGCATTGTACAGGGTTTACATTTTCATTAACAATGTATTGATCTGTATTTATGTGGCATCTTTGACACAAGTTAACGTATCGGAGGGTTTATCAAGATGGCGTGGAAATCCAAGCAAGCTGTGAAATGGGCAAAGGAGGGGACAAGGAAAGGCAAAGGAGAAATTGACCCAAGCAGAGGGTTTTGGTATAGGTCTGAAGGAGAATACAAGAGATTTGAGGAGAGTTCCGGAGAACCAGTGGAGCCTTGTAATCAAGGGATTAAAGGAGAGCAGAGGATCAAATAAAATGCCTAGATTGTGCACTGGGTGCTTGAGCTAGCGTGACTAGGTGAAAAGGTTAGATCAGAAATTAAGGTTGGGCCAGAAATTAAGAGGCACCAGTGGAAGCCAAGCAAAATGGCTTTGGTTTTATTGACATTCACGAATACTAAACAGGCCTGTGGAACAAAAGAGGCTGCCCAGTGAACTGGAGAGAACAGTCATTCACAATGAAGGACCTCACACATACAGTGTAATAGAAGGAGAACCTCCAGTGCCAAGCCACGTCC